GGTCTTGGCAGACGGTTCATTTAGCAGACGCATTAAAATAAACAATTCTAGACGCTAGCTTTAAATGTGCTTGCTACTAGGTTAGTTTTCTACCCATGAAAATGGAGACGTATTCATGTGTTTAAGGAGTCGATGAACGTAGTTCAGTCTCTTATATAGGCCGTGATTTTTTTAAGGACAGGTCTTAAAATTTGTTCAAGCTCAAATCATTTTTCTCGTGGTTTGACTTTTGATTTATTTTAAAGTTCGATTCATTTCCTTTGTTAAAAGGAAGTCAAATTCCACTATCGGGTAGCGAAAATTTTAAACTCGTGAAAAATTTGATTGACTTCCCATTTCGAAAATAGCATTTAATTATCAGCTAGTTATTTATTATTTCTATTTGTTTTATTTTTTTTTTAAATTCATTTCTTACCAGCTTTTCTAGCGAAAGAAATTTGACTCATTGATCCCCTTTTCGCACATTGGATTTATATTATGGAAAAAGGATCAAACATGAGTCGTTCTTTGAATTCAACGAGATTTAATATCATATAGTTTCTCGGAAATTCGAAATATTTTCATATAAGTCTTATTTTTGTATTTCTTCTGTTTACTTGCGTTCAATGACTCATTTTTCCACGCGCAAAAACAGGTACCTTAAATAATCATTGGAATATGACAACTGATATATTATATTTAATTTTTTAAAAGGGTAATGAAACTAGTGAAGACTCTTATATAGGTCTTGCTGATTTTTTTTTCAGGAAAAAGTTCTACAATATTGATGCACATAGGTATATATGCACTTTTTGAGTTCAACTGAAATTCATCTGCTGAAAGTGAAGTAAATAGCACTCTCCAATAACGAACGTGGGGCTGGCTCGAAAAAACCTGAACGATTTCTTGTTCCGAAAGTGGAATTTAAGTTTAGATTTCCAGCGGAATACAAACTTTGAACTTTCTCTAGTTGGGTTCATGTTATCAAAAAAGCGCCAATCATAAATTGTTCTAGAAATTCAAAAAACTTAAAGGGCATATATTTTTTTCTTTGAAATTCGAAAGTTGAGGTTTTTTCAAGAAGGTCAGTGTTTTTTATGTTTGCTTGCATTCATTACTCTTTTCCAATCTTCGATTGGTTTTTTTTTAACCAATTTCGTTTGTTAAATTTTCGTTTTTTTCTTTTTTAAAAATTGGTCCCGTTGTCGAGAAATTCGGGTTTGAAGTTTTTGAAATTTGTTCTAATTTTAAGCGAGCAACGTTCGCCATATGAAAATTTAAATTTTATTAAGTCTCTAGGCTGAGAAAACTTGATTGTACTAAAGAGAAAACTAGTTTTGGAATTTTCTTAGTTGACTAAAAGGTTTTCTAAAACGTACAAAGTTTTGTTTTAGAAAAAAGAGGTTTTATAAATGTTTGCTATCGTTTTTTTGTTTTGTATGCGTTTTTAAAGACAAATGCTGTCAATCATGGACAAAAAAAAACGACACTAAAATTTTGAAAGAAAATATTTTTTTTTTGTGTTTTTTGATGAATTTGGTCGGAACAATTTGGGCTACTTGCACAGCAGCCGGCTATCCTTGTTTTGTTTCCTTTTTTTTTCTCGAAAACAGCTTTTGCCTATCATGCCTGTTTCGCTAAAGTTCTTTTTCTATTCACAAGTGTGATATCTTTGTTCTTGTTTTGAAAATGATAGTCTTGGTGACCAATCTTAGAGATAATTGTCTGAAATAGAAAACATTGAGCTCAGCCAGGTTTTTTACGCGTTTTTTACGCCTGTCAGTAATTTATGAGTTATTTGTGCTACATTGGCCTGCTAAAAGACGGTTTATACTACTTAAAAACTGTTTTAAGTTTTTATGCTAAGAGATTGGTCTGCTGAAATCTGTTCCCCATTAAAAAAAGAGCCCAAAAATTGGCGGCTTAGTTTAGACTCGAGTTTCAAGCGTGGATATATTTTTTTAGCTTGCGGGGAAAAATTAATATTCGGTCTTTTTACTTGGATTACTTTAGTTAAAGTATGTCAATCAGAGAACATTTTTGAATTGAAAGAGCTGGTGAGATGTAATTTGCTCTATGAAATTTGGAAAAGCTCAAAGAAATCAACAAAATCAAATTTAATGCTTGCGATAAACCTGGTATTATTTACTATTGAAACTGAGCACTGTTTATTTTTCACCGTAAATACCTTGCACACCGCAAAGCCAACGAAAACTGGTCCCTATTCAAAAAGAGGAGACCAAAAGTTGGCGGTCTTTGAATTTGAAGGGCGGCTTTACTTCTAACTCGCGGGGAAAAAAGAAATAAGTTAGCTTATTTGAGTTAAAATATGTCAATCAGAAAGTATTTTTGTATTGAAAGAGCTGTGAGATTGATTTAGTTCTATGAAATACGAAAAAGCTTAAAAAATTGTTTTTTATTCTGGCGAGAAACCGTTTTTTTTTACCATTGAAACGGGATACTATTTTTTACCGTAATTAATTTGTTCACACGATAACTGATACTGATGATCGTCCTCAAATCTGAAGTTTCGTCGACCAACGGGTATATTTTGAGCATGTCTTTAATTGCCCGTTGGTAACGAAACTTGTTTTTTTTTATGTATGTTGTAAATTTACCAACTCAAATTTTTTTCTTACACATTTTTGCTTCATATCTGCTGACATGCTCAGTGTCTTGAAAGTTCAAATAAATTAATTTCTTAAACCATTTAGGTAGCATTTAACTTTTTTTGCAATATGTACTGGAATTATGTTGATTTTTTTTTAGATTTGTTGGTTTCCTTTTAATGTCTGTCGACTGATTTTCCGTGTTTTTTTTAAATGAAATTTATATCTGGTACGCTTTTCATTCAGTTTCTTTCCAAAGCTTGGTTTTTTTATTTGAATCGAACAGTTGCTGGTTCATCAAAACAAGTATTATAAAAGTGTGTGGGATTTGAAGTTCAGTCGAAACGACAGGTAATGCTAATTTTTTTTATTATAAGTGGCTTTGCCGTCTCAATTGCCATCAAAGGAACAGGTTGCTGAAAAATTCAGCTACCCTGAATTTTTTCATGATTTCATTTATGAGAACGGGTAATAGGTATCTAGCATAATCTAGCGGCTAATCCTTTATTTAAGCAGAGAAACAACTACGGTTTTGGGCTTTGAAAATAACGCATTCTATCCTGCATCAGGTACCTCCAGCTCTTACTAGGCCCCCAGTCTAAACTATAATTGAAGGTTGTTCTATAATTTTTTTTAACCGACTCTCATTTTAAAATTTTGATTGAGTTTTTATTGGTTAAATATGTTCGGCCTATAATTTTATCGGCTTAGACAACTGATGTTGCGTAGTTTCAAGGGCAAAATTTCAAATGCTTTTTCTTTTACTCAGGAAGGATTGATTTTGAGAATTTTGGTTTTAAAAGTTTTATAGCCTGAAATTGTTTTTACTAGTTTTGTTTGCGGCTTATGTAATGAAGGTCGACTCAAGTTTTTTCGCCTTAGCTGACACTCGTTCATTGTTTCTGAGGATTTTTCAAGGCCCTTTATTAACATAATCCGAGCCAGACATATAAAATTTTTGTAGATATAGTTTTTTCGTCTAATTTTTTCAGCTGAATTTTCAAAAACACGACCAATTTTTTCAAAAACACACGAATTTTTTTATCAACATATTTTTGTGCAATGTTTTTATTGTGTGACAAATGTCACGCAATTCTTTGTAATTTTTGTTTTTTTTTATTTTGTTTTGTTCTATATTTGTTTGGCCCAAAAGATTTTGGCTTGTTTTATGTCCGCTTTTTGGCTTAATGTTTTGTAGTTAGAGAAGCAAAATGGTTTCTTAACGATATGTGAAAACTTTTTCTATTGTAATATGCACGCATTTTTAGTTGAGGACTCATATTGCGTTGTTTGATACGTAAAAAAAAATTAGAATTGATGTTTCGAGGGGAGGGGTGGGTTTTTTTGAGTTTTCAAGTTTCTACGCTGAATCTTCTGATATTGGATAGTTGATTTGTTTAAAAAAACAAGTCGGTCATTTTTGGTTTTGGTCGTCTTGCGTTCATTGACACTTTTCAAGCTATCTGTTGACTATGTTGATTCTTGTTCTTTATTAAAAACAATGATATGACAATGAAGTGTGGTAGATGTAGTTTTTTTTCGGCTCGCGGTTTTTATCTCATTTTTTTCGTAGGCTTGTTTGTCATGCTGTTTTTTCGTCCGACGCTTCACATCGCTTGTGTTTTGATTTACCTTCCAAATCCTAACGTTTTCCAAACTTCTATTAGCTATTTTGATATTTTTCGTTCTCTGTGCACCAAGTAATTTTTCATGTAATTTGGTTGACCAAGTTTTTAGTTATCAGTCGCCCTGTGTTGTTCGTTTTACTTTGAGGTTTTATACTATGAAAGTTCATTGTACGAGCGGTGCTCAAAATTACGCGCTGCGTTTGCAAAAGGAAAAAGGAGCGAACAATTCTTCTTCCATTTTTCATATGCAGTTTTATTGATGTGGTTTTTCTAATTTGGATAATATCAGAAGTGTAGTATGATTTTTTTAATACGACGGTACAAGAATTTGACTATACATGATTATTCATAGAACTTAGAAGAAAATCAACAAATGCAATAAAAAAAAACCTGATATACACCCAAGAGAATTAACACTTTTCGGGCTGTCTGTTAGTCAGTGGCAGTTTCAAGATTGACTTTTCACAATTTCTTAATTCTTGAGATTTTATATAAAAAAACATAACATATAGTTTTCTTTGATATGAACTTCGAGTAGTCTTAAAGAAGGGATTTTAGTGGGTTCGATGATTAAAAGCGGAATATTGATGTATATTATCATTCGTTTTGCAAACAAGGTCAATCATGCAGTTTTTGCAATTTGTTATTGTAAAAATTATAAATTTGAGTTTTTTGAAACAATTAATCTTTTTATTATGAGTTTAAATGTCCCCTTTGTTTGAAAGGTTCCGTCTATGTATGTAATGATCATCCCATCGTATAATTTCCTTTCTTTATGCTTCAGTGCGACATAACTTCGACACCAGTGGGTGGAGCAATGGGGGTCGCCACTGGGATAAGCGAAGGGGTAGGGGGAGATAATGAACGCACTGTGTGCAATAGCAACGAGGAGCACGTAGGAGGGGATGCCGAGATGACAGACTACTACTCGAATGTGGCAGCCTCATTTTCTTCATCAGCGGCTGCTCCAAACAGCCAGAGGCTCAGTTCTCTGTCACAAGAGGACAATTCAGGTTTATCTTTTTGTATTTCAGCTCGTCCAATTAAATGCTTCTAATTGAACACGGTGCTTCTAATTGAGTTTGCGGTATTTTATGATTGTGTTTTTTTGAAGTTTTTATTTGCAGAGCTTAGGATGAAAAGTAATTTGCTGACGTGCAAGCAACTGGGTGCAAAACCAATGACTCCCATGGTTCATGTTTTCTATGGAAATTATAAAAGGCAAATTATTGCAGTTTATTGCAAATGATCGAACTTCAAAGTATCTTTTGGCCTAAAAAAGGTTTTTCACAACTAGCACAAAAAGATATGAACATTAAAAAGTTGATTAATGTGTAGGTTGTAGGTATCAGTTTTTCCACTGTCCTCGTAATTACTCTATTTTTGCGGTAAATAAGGAAGTAACTTTAGAGTACTCATGGGTAGACGAATGGCAGTTTGGTTAGCAGAGACCTGTTTGATGTGTTAAATTGGCAAACAGACATCACAAACCAGAATGTATGGGCTTCGTTACCGTCTTTATTGATTTCAATAAAAAAGACTTGTTTGATCAATCATTTCGGCCGACTAACATTCGTTGACTTTCTAAGAACTTAGTAATTCAATTTTACCATAAGAACTTCATTTCCCATATTTTTGTTCTTTTAACTTTCCTTTTAAAAAGAGAGCGAAATGTTGCCAAGTTCTTTTACGTGACTTTGAAACAAAAATTACCAGCTACCGTCTATGGTAAAATATTTCCCTGAGGAATTTGTATAAAAAACTTGCAATCTCTTTTGAGGGTTTCTAATCTCAAGTGATGAATTTTATTTGCAGCTTGATTAACGGAACATATTGAGTCGTCAGGGATGAAAAAAAGAGTCTATTTGAGCTAGAAGACAGCATCTTTCATCACTTTAAAATGAAGATGAGCAAAAGCAAACCTTTCAAGATGCGAAATTTTAGAAGCAAAAAAAGGGAAAGGATACAGTTAATTTCAAAGCGATATTTTGAGAAAAATTTGATAGATTACCACCGACTTTTATAACTATTTTTAAAAAATACCTAATACAGGAGTGCGCATAAATTTTTCTAGAGGGGCGGTTTTTAGAAACATTTTACAAATTTATCGGCTTTTTTTATTTTAGATTGACCAATTTGATATTCCGAGCTCTCTGAAAACACAATTATGACCCCATTTTCCAAATTTTGCTGGCTATAAATGACGTTTTGCGATTTTTTTCGGCGCTCACTCCCCCCCCCCCCCCCCCTCATTTAGTTAATATTGGCGCCTTAAGAAAATTTTTGAGTTTGTTCAGACAAAAATGGATGTCTTAAAATGGAAAAATTTGGCAACCAGAATTGAGGGAGTCGGGGAGGGCGCGGTCGCCCCCTCCTCATCAGCACGCTGCAGCTTAACTGTTTTGGGGTATTGGGGTTTTGACTACAGTTGAGACCTATTTGTGACTAGTTACTATACTTAAAATGCTGTAGTACTTTAGGTTATTTGACAAATTATGTTAAGAGGTCAGTGTTGATTTAAGGAGGGAGCAATGAATAATAGGCTGGTGGGAGGTAGTAGGTGAAAAATAAAAATGAAATGATAATACCAGCGCTCTCATGTGCCACCAAACGACAATAAAAAACGCCACAATGGTCTGAAGAAATTTGGTCTGAAAGTAAGAAGTAGTTAACGCTACTACCACAGCCTTTTTTTGTTTGCTAAAATTTTTATATTAAACTATTTCGCTCTAGTAGTCTTGTCGTTTGCATTGTTCAAGAAATACTTCCTTGTCGTTGCATTTCCTTCTCTTTGACGTGTTTCCCCCTTACTTGGAAAATGGTCTCCTTGAAGAATTGAGTATTCACATGAATTATTTGTACAAGTTTGACAGCCACTAACAACAATAATTTGATTTGAATACTTTTCGATTATTGTGTTTACAAGGTACTTACGACACTATTTTCTCTGCCTTATTTATGAAAATAGCGTGCAGGATTTGAAATCACCTTACACTCATCGCATTCTATTTCATCGAGTACAAGAAAAGCGAAGTGTTCTTTAGGATGGTACCACTTTCTTTCTACCTGAAATTAACCATTTAGGTGGCAATATGAAAAGTTCCTTTCCAGTATAGTATAAATTCGATTAAGTAGTTGACTTATATCGGAATCCAGTCAAGATTGCTCTCGAGACTTGTTGCTGAATCACAAAAGCGTTCTTTGTTTACTGCTCAGAGTGCATATTTTTTTAACGAAACCTCATTTTTGGCGCTTGAAACTCAATTTAGGAGCGAGAAGGTGATTGACATCTTCTGATGCTGGCTTAGCTCACGCGTATTGGTTCTTAGAAGATTAAAATCAATCAATAGTTTATGTTGTTGCAAACAATTATTGTCGTATTTAAATCCTCTTAATTCAGCCGCGCGAGTTTTGCTAAACGTCAAAATCTTGTGTTGGATCTCCGTGTCGGTCGTAATTTTTCAGTGCGCTAGCACTCGGAATGTAGACTTTTCTAGAGAAACAACTTGTCACAATCATTGAATAGCTTCTATAACTTCTCTCTTTTTCATCAGTTCTTAAACTTCTTTTTTAGTTGTAACTGAACTCATGAATATAGTGCTTTGCTGGTGTGCGTTATAACAAATTCTTTGGTTGCCATCAATTTCCTTAATTGCCATTAATTTTCTGTATGTTTTCGGCTTATTGTGTCTCGGTTTTAATTAGTTTGGCTTCAGGTTTTTGATTAAATTCGAGTGGAATTATGATTAAGAGTCATGAATGTATTGAATACTCTTTTATGAAAGGTCTTGGTGATTTTTTGTTAGGTGGTTTTTTCAGGAAAAAGTCTTAAAAATTATTCGCGCTCAAATTTGATTTGTCGCAGTTTGAATTTTAATTTCTTTGTAAATTCAGTTCATTTCCTTTGTTAAAATGAAGGAAAACGCCTCTATCGAACAGCAAAATTGTAAACGTCACGAAAAACTTGATCGACTTCTTATTTCGAAAGTGGATTTAAATTTTCCGATTTCCCAGCGGAATTTAAAAATTACCTAGTGATCCTTTTTCCCCAATTGGGTTTTTATATAAAAAGTGTCAGTCTTAAATTGGTCTTGATATTCAGAGAGCTTTAGATTCGTTAATTTTATTTCTAAGAATTTCGAAAATTGATTTTTCTTCGAAAAATAAATTACTCTTTTGTTCTCTTTTCTTGCGTTCATGATACATAATACAAATACATAAGAGTAGATGTGCAGTTTAAGTTATTTTTTGGTTAAAAGAAATCTTACGTACAGTCAGGGGCGGATTTAGGGTCCCCCCTTTGATACTTTTTCAGAAATCCATTTTTGGCCGACACCCTAAAATTTTTCTAAAGGCGCCTTTGGCACCAATATATAATAACTTTGAGGGGGAGCGCGCGCCAAAAAAACGCGATTTTTTGTCAAAATGTTTCAAAAAGTGCCCAAAAACGGCTTTTTTGACTGTTTTTTCAAAAGTTTGCCTGCGGCACACAAAGTTTTGCCAAAATAGGGGCAAAACAGTGCTTTGGGAGAGCTCGAAAAATCAATTTCGTCGACCTAAAAAAAGGTCGTCAAAATTTTTTGAAAATCCGCCACCCCCCCCCCCCCCCTCGAGAAAATCCTAGATCCGCCCCTGCGTACAGTGCTGATTTAAAGTATCGGGACTAAACGCATATAACTTGAAATTCAAAACGTGTTTCTCTTTAATTTGGGTTGATTTTAGACAAAAAAAACAATGAAGACAAAACTTGCTTAGAATGTTAGCAGAATTAATATGATGTAATTGGTTTGGAAATTCAAACCCAGTATGGATTATTTTTGGCTTTTTTAGTCAATCAAAAATTACCCCAAAATTACCCTGCCGATTAATGGCAAAATTATATCAAAGTGAGCTTTTTATAGAGCCCAACGAACTTCAAGCAGAGTATTGTCTCTGAATTTTTGAGGAAAACGTTTTGAAGTTGTTTCGAATAAAACATTGGTTTTTTATATGGTAAATATATATTGTTTCTTGGAGATAATACCCTTTAAACTTGTTTGGGCTGCGTAACAGCCTGACTTTTATTAAATTTTGATAGTAATTGGCCTGGTAGTTTCTGCGTAATGTTTGATTGGCTAAAGCAGCCAAAAATAATCCAAATATGGGGTAACATTTTGAGCCCGAATTTCGATAAACAAACTACGCCATATTAATTCTGGTGAAGTTCTACGCAAGTTTTAATTTGATCTTTTTTCTAAAATCAACGCTGTTTGAGTAAAATGGGTTTTAAATTTTAAGTTTTATGCGTTTTGTCCGGATAATTAAAATCAGCACTGTATTACTGAAATTTCATTGGCTATAATTTTGTATGATCCCATAAAGTGAAGTCAAAATGAAACCCGTATGTTTTTTGTTGCAAGAGCAGCGGAGATGTTTTGAATGCAGTTTTGCCTGAATGATAGATAACGCAAAGTATGGCTATTTTTGGTCGGTAATTAATTTTTCACCCATTTACGCACGGAAAAATTGTTTCAAAAAATCTATTCAACCTAAGAAGCACGACCGTGTATCGACCCAGAAAGTTCTTTAAATTAATCGATTTTTCCAAAAAATTGACATTAAATAAATATAAATAAATGAAAACCTTGAAATTGCTTTCAGTTGTATCCGAGCTCTGAAACTAAGATTCTGAATAATCGAAGATCCAATTTTTTTTATGAAATCCAATCACGACTGAAATGTTTTTGATAATGCACCTCGTCCAACACCATCGGGTTTTTTGTTGGGGTAGGAGTGGTTTTTACGTGGAGCAATAAAAACAGATACATGGCTTCTTCCTAGTTGAGAATCGTAGGTTTGATTTCTAATTATCAGCTTTTAATTTAGCACCGAAATTGTTTCTTATAAAGTCTCGAAGAAGACCTAATTAAGTGTTACTCAATGTGGCGATGTACTCTCATGTGCGTTATTTTACGGAGATGAGGTGTTTCATTTTCTTTTTTTTTTCGAAAGATTTACTCTGCATTTTCAGCCC